CCCTTGCTGTGCCACCTCTGTATCCCAGACGAGGTAGAAGCCCTGTTTCTGTTAGAGGTCCTTCACTCTCCTGCGCCTGGAGGTTGCCACCCCCACTTTACAATGTGCAGGTTACTTACCATTTAGCTACATGGATGCCCTTTTAGAGCTGTGTTTTAGAGCTGTATTAGTCCTTTTAGTGATATTATCCAAACACAAATAAGGAGGTTAGACATCTTAGCTCTTATCCACAGGAATTTAAACTTCACTTACAAGCATAACTAGTTACATCATTTGTGGGATTCATTGCAAAGTGAAAATTTGGGGATCCTTGTTAAAAAATTATTAAAATTTTCAGAAAGCAACAGCAGAGATTAAATCAAGTGGGGGAACACTTCCAAGCATGAGGCCCTGTGTGCCTGCAGACTATGAACCCATGAAGCCCACCCTCCTTGCAGGATAGTGATCGTACCATTTTCTGTTACCTCCCCTCTCCAGCTCTTGGAGAATGTCAAGTATATTTTAAAGGTGTTTTTTTTCACTGGAGCCTTATGCTCACCACAAAAGTCATCATTTTCCCATTTTTCAGATGAGGAAACCAAAATCCCGAGGGCCTCATACCTAACAGAACCAGTTTTCTGGCCTGGCTTTTTTGGATACCAGCCCCTGGCTCTTCACCTAGCCCCATCTAACCACTGCGTGTGTCTCATCATTTCTCCCCACCTGACTGAGACCATGAATGAACATGCTGGTGCCCAGCCCATGGGGTGCCCAGGTCAGCCAAGTAATGGAGCATGTGCTTGTTGAAGGAATGAGGTTCACTGCAGCAGGAATCCCATCCCTCTGTTTGTATTGGTCTCTTCCCTATTTGTGTTGTCACACTCCTCCTTTGAGAAGTGGCCTTGGAGGCCCTGACTGAGGTGAATTCCCTCTTGAGGCCCATGTGCAGGCAGGGGTGTCTGTCTAGGCCATAGTGGGGTACAGTTCACCAGGATGTCTCCTCCCTAGCACCTGGGTCTTCCTGTCTCAGGGTCTTTGCTCAGGGGGGCCCTCTCCTACAAAGATTGCTCTTCAGTGCTGCTCTAAGTTTTATTTCATTAACTCTGAGTTTTCAGCTCCTGGGCAAGGATCCCTTCCCTGACCTCAAAGTCTAGATCAGGATCTTGCCATGATTTTCTCAAACCCTGACCTTTTTCTCTATAGCAGGTGGCACTGTAGTTACATTCTCCTATTCCCTGATGAATGGCTGCCTTGCCCACTGGACTGTCAGCTCCATGAAGTCAGGAATGTTATTGTCTTCCTCACACAGTGCCTGCCACATGGGGCAAAAGCTAGAGGAAGCGGGAACTCTGAGTGGGAAGGTATAATGTTGGGGGCAGGTATACTTTCCACTTCAGTTACTACAAAGTGGGGACACAAAACAAGAAGCTAAATTCTTCTTTGGGACAGAGTAACTTCGGCTATTCTCCTTCCTAAGTCAGGAGAGGGAGAATCTGCTTTGCCCAGGCTGCTCTGTCATCGTTCCTGGGGAGGAGGAGTTGAGCGACACCCATCCCATCTTTCTGATGGCTGGCATGGCCCATGTTTACCCCTCTGTCCTGCAGGGCATGCATGCTCTGTTGTTCAAACTGAGATCCAGAAGGGAAGGATCTGGGCCTCCATGGATCTTACACTCCTGTCACCTGCCTCTGAAGGTGGATGTGCGGTTTACCATTGTCCTCTCCTGACTCCCACTGGTGTTCCCTCTGCTGAGGCCTATGGGACCTGACTACTGCAGTAGGGCAGATGTCTGAATCTTTCTCAGTATTGAAATAAACATCCACTAGCTAACGTTTGCTAGGCCCCAGGTCCTCTACCTGCATTCTCTCCCCTCTGCTTGCCTTGTCTCTTCTCATAGTACACAAGTGCCACCTTTGCTGAGTTTAAGACAGCCATCTCCAGTGCCAGGAGAGGGTGTTACTCAAGGTACCTGGCTTTGCTGAGAAGTCTCGTCGTAGGCACAGGGGCCCCTACAACCTGAAGAGGCTGCCACCCACTCTTTCAAAGCTTTCAGACTTCAGGGACCTTTGGCCATCACAGTTCCAATCATACCACCCATCCTGCTGCATTGAAGGTAGGTGTAAATATCTGGGCTGGTGGCCAGTGGAGGGCTGAAATGAGCATTTCTGAAAACAGGGTTGAATCAGTTTGGTAGAGCTGCCACAGTGTAGATGGCTCACACAACAGAAATGTGTTGTCTCACATTCTGGAGACTGGAAGTCCTAGATCAAGGTGTTGGCAGGGTTAGTTTCCCCTGCTGCTTCTCTTCTTAGCTTGTAAATGGCCACCTTTGCCTTGTGTCTTCACATGTCTTTCCTCTGTTGGTGTTCGTGCCCTAATCTCTTTTTCACAAGTACACCAATGATATTAGATTACAACCCGCCTTAATTACTTTATTTTAACTTAATCACCTACTTAAAGACTATCTTCAAATACAGTCACATTCTGAGGAATCATAAGTTTCAATATATGAAATTTGGGAGTATACAATTCCGCCGGTATCAAGGGTCTTTGCACTTAGATGAAGGAAGCAGTTACTTGTGCCATTTGTAAGAGAGTATGGCACAAAATGAAGGTAGGGAGGTACACTGATAAAGAGAAAAAGAGAACTCATCTTGGGAAGCTAGTTCAGTCCATTCCTTTTCCTGGAAGCTGCTGATCTGGGTTGAAGCCTCAGAAGTGGAAGGGTTACTTGCTTCCCTCCAGGATGGAATCTGGCCTCCCATGGGGACTGGAGTGCTTGGCACATTCTCCTGGTTTCAGTCACTATAAATAATCCTTCCTTCACACAACATTAATAGGAGGAGCCTGGGGCTTGAGGTCCCGGGGCTGCACTCTCATCCTACCCATCTTGTTTCAATTTCCTGCCTTCCTCAGCTCTCCTGGACTCCGCTGGGGAGCTCTTGGGGGCGGGGTGGGGTTGGAATAAAATTCTGAAAGCCAGCTGCTGCATCTCTGCTGCTGTCTCCGCCTGCCCAACTCCAGGCAGCTGTTGGAGTGGGGTCAGCTGGTGTCCCCAGCTGCTGCATTTCTCACCAGGAGCTCCTGCCATGGGGGACATGTGGACTTCAGGCAAGGCCTAGCAGTCAGGAGGAGATGCTGTCCACTAATTTAATATGGCATATGGGGTGCCTGCAGGTGGGCGAGCTGCAGGTGACACAGTGAGGCCAATTCCTTTTGTTCCCCCAACATGAGTGACTTCTGATGATGATGGGATAATTATAAGAGAATGTGTCCTTCCCTTGGCTACCTGCTAATCTGCATTCCAAAGTATCTCCCTGGGCTGGCTTTGTTCCTCATCACTGTAGACACAGAATACCTCCTATCTGTCCACAAGAAGCTAAGAGTCTAGCTGAGCATTAAGCTTTTTCTTCTGAGTTTAATTCCATATATATCAAAGATGTCTTGGTCTTAATTCCTGGGAACCTGTGAATGTTGCCTTGACAAAAGGCACTTTATGAATGTGCATAAATTAGGGCTCTTAGATTATCCTCCATTCTCCTGTCAGCTAGTGCCTGTTTTCTAAGAGATGAGAGGGGAAAATTGGCCCTCAAATTATTTCTCTTAAGGTGTTCAGTTTATTAAATAATTAGTGGAAGCATATAAGATGATGACCTATTGCCTGAATTTTTGCAATGTAAATTTTTTTTTATAAGACAGCACCCTCCTGGCTGTAGGACCTCATGCTTACTTACCCACAGCCTCTTTGTTGAATGCTCAGATTGTACTGGATCTCTTTTTCCTCCTTCCTCTTTGCTCACTTACAGTACTGACCAAGAGTCAAAGCTTTTGGTGACTCTGACATCTGGGGCTCAAGCCCCTTTATGTGACTGGAAGGTGACATTTGGGGACTGAAACTTGTGGTTTGGGATAGGCCCAGGGACATCTGCTTGTATGGTGTGGTGGGCAGTGAGTGGCTTCCTGGAGTTACACACTGGGCAGTACAGGGATGCGGATGTGGGATCTGGTGAGAAGACAGCCCTGATTGGGCAAAAAGAGGTTCTGAGCATCCTGCACAGTGTCCTTTCTTGGGTTCTGACGCCAGGAGAAGGCTGTGCCCCTGAGCGCCAGGACAACCTGGCCACACAGCACAGTCAAGGATGCACCGTGAATAGTGACTTCTACTCAGTGGAACAGATAGCAGTGTTTGGCATCTCTGAGGTCTCTGAGATCTGGATAGTTGTGTGGGTGATGGAGTGGCTCTGTCAAAGTTCAGCTTGGGGGCAGAACAGCAGCTGGGAGGGGGCAGCCCTCAGGCTGGTTCTAACCAAGGAACCAAAAGACAGGAAGTAGTGGACTAGGCCTGGAATTCTGAAGCATCTTTTGGGGGTGTTGGGAGAGTATCTCATTTCTCCCTGGTCCTGAGCTCATTTATTCTTTATTCTTACTCTTCAACTATGAGACCATGGATCCTGAGAACTGAGCAGCTTCTGTCATTCCAGCTCATTTGTACCAGTACAGCACATCTCCTGACTTTACTAACAATCTGCCCTGGTTACAGTTGGAATAACTGTGACAGGGAGAGGGACACAGAAAAGCAGGCCCAGCCTCTTGGTGGACAGGCCATCAGAGAAAGTGACCCTGCCCTTCCCCAAGACATCTCCTGACCTACAACACTGCTGACATCAGGCTGGTGACAAAATGGATAAAAGCAGGCCTCAGGGAGGTAGCCAGGCAGTGAGGTGGGAGCATATTAGGTGTGGGCTGGATATTTTCAAGAGATTCCAAAAATCTCAAATTTTATGTGAAATCTCCTGAGGTTTAGATAATGTATCAGCAGCTAATTACACAATTTTGAAAAATACTTTGGGGCCAGGTGGTCAGTATGGATGGCTCACTTCCAGAAGAACCCTCCTCTAAAAGGCAGAGAGTAAGCATGGAGGGGCGCAGGGGCCACCAACCTCTCTGACCATGCAGAGCACCATGACACCCACCGCATGGAGACATTTCCCTGGCTCCTCCTGGACTATCCACATGGAGACATGGGGCCCTCCTCATCTTCTCCTTTCCATTTTTTCTCTGCAGAGGTCTGTGGGGCCCTCAATGTCACCGTGTCCCCGGGGCCCGTGGTTGACTACCTGGAGGGGGAAAATGCTACTCTCCTCTGCCATGTCTCCCAGAAGAGGCGGAAGGACAGCTTGCTGGCTGTGCGCTGGTTCTTTGCACGCTCCGACTCACAGGAGGCCTTGATGGTTAAGATGACCAAGCTCCGGGTGGTACAGTACTACGGGAACTTCAGCCGCAGTGCTAACCGGCAGAGGCTACGCCTGCTTGAGGAGAGGCGAGGGATGCTCTACAGACTCTCTGTCTTCACCCTCCAGCCCACAGATCAAGGGCACTATGTCTGCAAAGTCCAGGAAATCAGCAAGCACAGGAATAAATGGACGGCATGGTCCAATGGCTCCTCAGCGACGGAAATGAGAGGTAAGAATACATTTCATCTCCCTGGGGAGAGGTGTGGGGCACAGGTCAGTGGCCCTCCCTCCAGTCTCCCAGGTTGCCTCTCCTGGGCTAGAATATATCATGTCAGTCTCTGTGAGCCACAGCCATGAGTCAAGCTGTGAGTTGAGGCTAGATCTTTACTCGGACATGGGCTGACATGTGGTGTAGACACTGTCCCCACACCACCCAACCTGCTCTCTAGGCAAAACCTTTGTCGTGTCTGAAGAGTGGACTGGCTGCGTGCTATCACTACTCAGAGAGCTCAGGACAGATTTTTTTTCAGTAATGACTTTTGCAGTAGGGAAGAGTCCAGTGTGAACTGGACTCAACTCCGATTTGTGCAGACATGACTTGGTGTTTTAAAGGGAGAATGAAGGGTGGGGAGGACTCAGAGACTCAGGAGAGTCAGAAGTGTGAAAATTACAAAAAGCAGTGGGAAGAGATGTTTGGTCCACGTGGAGCCCCTCTGAATCTGCTGATGTGCCTGTTGAAGCTAGGCTCCTACCTCCCCACAGAGACTGGGAGACAAGGTTCTATTTTCAGGTGTTAGCTGGAACAAGTAGAAAATGCTTTTGTCAGCCTTGAACTTTTCAAGCGGACACTTTATGGAGAGTAGGGTCATCCTAGGCATATGACCTTGAGCTGTTTGAAACTGTGTTAGTGCTTGTTCAAGTCTATAGGCCACAGTTGGGCCTAGTTGAGAAGGGACTCCAAGAAGCCTGGCTAGAGTTTGTTTAAGAGAGTCTTTGCTAGTGCCCAGCCTTCAACTCAGGTCTGTGCAGCCTGGATCACTTTGGTTGGGAAGTGCCAGGCACCCATGGAAGAGACGCATGTTGGGGGGTCTTGCTGTGAGTTGTCAGGCATAGGAGCAGGGCAGACTGGTGGCTTTGATCCGTTGCCCAGGGAACTCATCCAAGCTTGCTGAGAAATTCATCAGGAAGCAGGCAAAGGACAAGGGCTAGTCCGTACTTCCTGAAGACAGATAGGATGTATGGGACACATTTCCAGAACATTTTAGATACCAAGATTTGAGGATTATCATTTTTTTGACACTAATGTTCTATTCAAGAGGACTTCTTTCACAATTTTAAAAATAATTTGTACTGTGCACTAAAATTATGTTTTTGATTACTTTGAAATTAAATTTAGTTTGGCATAAAATCAAGAGGATCACAACTTAAAGCTGATAGTCCCAAATATGAAAACAAATCTAATTTTATTGTATATACAAAATATAACATTAAAGACCTTAGTAAAGTTTTGACAAGCTTTTCTTAAGGGACAAAATTTAGTTGTAAAAAGTATTTTTAATGTCCTACATGAATAAGGGACATGTCATGAAATAGTTTATATGGAGAGTCATTAAAGCAGTTCAATTTTACTTGTCTGTTGAGTTTCCTTATTGTAATGCTTATAAAATGACATAGTAACTAAAATGTTGTGTACTTTTTCTCCTTAAGCAAATTAATTGAAGAAAACCAATGACTATTAGTATAAATATATATTTTGGCGCAGGAAGCAAAAAAATTTATCAGATGACTGGAGTCTGGGAAGAGAATTCACTCAGAATATTGCTTGACTCTGAAGCACAAGATCTTATATATGTTTTGCTTTGTTTTGTCTTTATGTCACAGTATATTCTGGCATCATGCACTAAATCTCTTGGCAGTGGTGATGCTCTGCCAAACAGAATATATAAAAAGTTCGCTACCTTCAAGTAAGCACAATCATCTGATTTGTTATTTAATGTGAATCTACTTTCAGTGAGTGAAGCTGGGTTCCTTCTAGAACATTTATTTGGGAACTTGCTCCAAAAACCTGAAGTGCTTCACTGGAAGAATCTTTTCCCCCTTCTTCTCCTGCTTTCTCCACTTCCCTCCCTGTTCTTCCATTTATTTTTCGTCTCATCCTCCTTTTCCCTTCCCCTTCACTGCCTCTTCTCTTTCTCTCTTTCTTTATCTCTCTCTCACTTCTCTCTCTCTCTCTCTTTCTGTCTCTCTGTCTCTCCCTGACTCTTTCTCGCTCACTCCCATTTCTCTGACCTCTCACCTGGAGGTGGTTCTCACCTGCCAGCAGAGCAGAGCTCTGCCCACCTCAGTATGTCTGCTCTGCCTCAGCCTCTGGGCTGTGATTTGCTGATGGAAAGAATGGAAGCAATGACCATATCTTCTAGAACGTTCCACATAAGCTTCCAGGGGACTGTTCCAAGATGATTAAAGAAAGGTAACCCCAAGTAAGTGACCTGAAACCAGACCAGCTTGTTTAGGTTGGAGCGTGTCCACTCCAGGAAGGGGGAGTGCATGGAGCATTGGCTGCTTGTCCTTCCCAGGTAGGGACAGGATGGGCTTGTGGCTGTAGCCTCCCAGGGTGCCTTTCCCTGAGATCCTGTGCCTTGTTCCTCTCTAGGAGTTTTGTTTCCCTAAATCTCCACCTCATGTTAACAGTTGTTATATGGGAAACAAAAACAAAACCAACAATGAGAAGTTTGGTGATCAAATACACTGGTTGGAATATTGAACAGGAGCTCTTGGGGCGTTTTGGAGTAGCTGTCCCACCCCAGGCCCCCTGAGTCTCTCTTTTCTAATATACCCACTTTTCTTCCCTCCTTTCAACAGATGTCTCAAGCCATCCAAGGGAGAAGGGAGATTTCCTAAAACCCACCCTTTGCCCGTCACAACACAATTAATCTTGGTCTCCTTCCTGAAATAGTCTTAATATGAGATAAACACTTGGCTTGTCTTTCAATGTAAACTCCCAGAATGGAAGGCTGCTGCCTGGGCTTCTCTCTCTGTTGTGGGTTCCTTGCCTAGCAAACAGAGAGAGACTTGCACTGATATATTTAAGGAATGGTTCCCAGCACAGAGAAGAGCCACAGGAGTGTTGGCTCTACTATTTGTCCTGATTTCCATACGTTGGTTGTTTTCTATTGCAGAAGTAATATTGTTCAATTGTAGAAAACATGGAAAAATACTGAAAGGGTTTAGAGAAGAAAATAAAAATGACTTTTAATATCTCCACTCAGGCACAACTTAACAGCAGTGTAAATCCTTTCAGTCATTTTATGCAAATAAAAATTTAAAATCTAATTTCATTCTTACTATAAATAGTGTTCTGTGGCTTTTCTGACATTACTAAATGGTGTGTGCACTTTCCCTTGTTGTTAAATATGTTTCCACAGCATAATTTTAATGACAGAATAGTATTCCATGATGCGGATGCACCACAATTTAGCTTCTCGGTTATTGTTATTAGGCATCTAAACTGCTTTAAATCCTTGTCAATAACTCTCCATGAATGGACCTGTCCTTAGATAAAGTCCTGAAAAGAAGCTTGCTGGTCCAAAGGTATAAATGATTTAAATTTCAAGATGTGAATTGACCTGAAAAATAGTTAATAAATCTATATTCTGATCAGCATTGAAAGTTCCTTTTCCCCAAGGATTGGGCTATGTATTTATAATGGGTAATTTTATGTATCGCCATGACTGGGCTAGGGGATACCCAGATGACTGGCAAACCATTATTTCTGGATGTGTTGCTTCTGTTTCTCTGGAGAACCCTGTCTAATACAATCATATATACTTTTTGAGGATGATAACGATGATGATGATGATGAATGCCTGCATCAGTGCCTGGTGCAAAATTGACCCTTAGTGAATAACTGATGAATGTATGAAATACTATTAGGTGGCATTAACACCTTTTACTGTGGATGACTTGAAGGTAGGCATGACTTGGTGGATGCAGTCAGTCACCCTCTCTGGAAGACATCTCTTTCTTTAGCCTATTCCAATTGTACATCTTATTCAAGGCCTCACACCCGTCCTTCCTTTTCCAGCATGCCTTCTTTGAGCATGTCTGCCCGTAGAGAGCTCTCACCTCTGATATCCTGTAGCTTCTGTTTTTAGCATGGTTGACATAACATTGTGTAGTCACACCACTGTTTTTGTAAGCTGTTGTGGCATAGGGGATGATGTGAAAAATATTATACATAAAGGAGTCAATGCAAAAACTGAAATGTGTAAGTCTCTTTCCCCCGCCTACGGCCTAATTTCTCCAACTCTGCTCCCATCTCCAGAGATAATCATTGTCAACAATTTGGTTAGCTCAAGTCCTATTCCTATTGACATTCATGCAGACCTACACATCCCTGTACATGTATTTTAATAATAGTACATGTATTGTTTTATGAGTATTGTTGATATTGCATATATTTTTTGCAGCTGATATTACATAGTGAGACAGTACCAAACTGTATTCAGTCATTCCCCTAGTGATGGATACTTAGGAAACTTCCAGTTTTTCACTAACACAAACAGAACTTCAGTGAAATCTTTATACATCTTTCCCAGTGTTTCTGTTGGTTAAATTCCTTGAAAGAGAATTGCTGGTCTTAAGGGTATGCCTATTTAAATTTGTTATAGACAACGCCAAAATGCTACTGTTGAAAAGACTACACAAACTTGTACTCTGACCATCATTGCATGATAGTGTCTATTTTTCTGAAGCCTCTTTAACCATTGATCCTATTACCACTTTCTATTATTTATCACAATGATGGGAAAATATTCCATTGTTGTTTTAATTTTGATTATTATAGTCAATAAAAAACAATGCAATATCATTTCTGTTGTAGTCATTATTAGTGAAGTTGAGCATCTCTTCATATTGATTGCTTAAAAAATCCTCATATTGACTGTTTAAAAAAAATCTCTTTATATTGACTGTTTAAAAAATTTCTGTGAATTTCTTGTTTATAACCATAATTGTCTATTCTGTATTTTTCATATATGTGGTGCATGTATATGTGTGTGTAGTTGTGATTGTGACTTCCTTAGCTATTATGCATGGTGCAAAAAACTTATTCCTGTTTGTCACTTTCCATTTTGTGTTTTCTTTTACCATATAAATATTTCACATTTCAGGATATTTATGTAGTGAAATTTGTCATTTTTTTCTTTGTGGTATTCCTTTTTCTAGTGA